TAAAAAACTTAAATCCCTATTATTATTTATTAACAAGTCTTTTTGCAGTTCGTTATAAAGAAAACAATATTAGTTTTAAGTGTGAGAACGCTAAAACTTCATTAAAGAAATATTCATTAATAACAATTTAGTTTTTTTATGCTAGAAAAAGTTTTTCTTTCATGCAGGACAGATTCTAGAACTCCAATTTCTATTATTTATTATTCAAAATCAGTTCAATTAATTCGAATAGCCACTCTTATCTTAAAGTTTTGTAATACCAAACACAGGCATACAACAATTTAGGGATAGTAATTTTAGAATGTCATGCCTTTTAATAAAAATTAATTTCCAAATCCTCCTAAATTAAATTTACTTTTGAAAACACCTTTTGAACTATTTTATTTTACGAAAAGCACAACAGCAAAACAGAACGGCAAATGGCTCTGAATTTGGATTAATTAATCCAAATCCATGGCGGTGCACAAGGCACTTGCATAATCTCATTCCTCTGTTCTGTTCCCTCCTCCTTCAAATACAATTATTAATTTGATATCAATCTCCTCCTTCCTCCCTACAGAAAATCACCAATGCAGGTAAGCAATTCTTCTTCATTCTTTGTTATCCTTTACCAAAAGAGGACTTAGTTTTGCTATCATTTTTATTCGCAGTCCATTACTATTCTGTTGTTCATTCCGACTCTTCTTCTGGCTTCTTGCTGTGCTCTCAAGGTGCGTCATCAGTATGTCAAAGGAAACAAATTTACACAAAACCTATTTCTCCTTTTCCCCTTGGGTTTCACCATTTTTGATTTTGGAGCAGGAGGGACAAACATGCATTAACGACGGTAACTGCAACTCCGGATTGCTCTGCGCCACCTGCTTGGCCAGCGAAAATCCGCGACCCAGATGTACCAGAATCCACCCTGTCAACCCTACTTCAAAGGTTCGTACATCATACATATATGATACATAGAAAGGGAATACATACATAGAGTCGTAGACCATACATGCATGTCATATTTAGTATGTATGTATAACTGTGTACGGTTCTGTTGGGTTTGTGTCACAGGTTAAGGGGCTGCCCTTCAACCGGTACTCCTGGTTGACTACGCACAACTCGTTTGCAAGGGTGGGGCATAGATCGGAGACTAGGTCTGTGGCTCTGTCTCCGACGAATCAGGAAGATACAATTACCGATCAGCTGAATGTATGTTTTCATCTCTCTCTTATATGGTTGTGGCTAAAAATTGTTGTTCTATATTTAGCCTTCGAAAGAGAAAAAGTAAAAGAAATGGGAATGACTCGCTTTTAATTTTAGAAATTCTAGTGCATTATTTGTTTCCCATTTTGACGAACCAATCATCGACCAAAAAAAGTGCTTTGCCATTTAACGGTAAAATACTTCTTGTTATTTTACAAAACCCTCCTAAAATAATGAAAGGACTCTTTTATCTAATAATTAATTAGTATTTTGCAGTCCAATAATATTATAGTTATAATATTACGTAGGATGGTAAACTTATAATTTTATGTGATATTAAATGAAATATGACATACCATTAAATAAATGAATGCGTACAATATTATGAATGAATTTTTGAATAAAAAAATTAATTATATAACGACATATTATATTATAAGTTCATAATACCATATGACATTGTAATTATAGTGATGAATTTTTTTTATTATTATTGAACATGCATGCATCTGTGATTAATTTTTATAATTTTGATCAACTGTAATGAGTTATAGTATTAATTTCAACATTTGTCACAAATTTTTGTCACTAAAAATCCCATTTCTTGTGGTGTATTTTTGTTTGTGGTATAGAGTATAGACGGTAAAAGGCTAGACTCAATTATCAATGAAACAAGTTCAATTTTAGATTCCATGTAGTTTGGTGGCGTTTCTTTGTTATTTTTATGAATATTAAATATGTTTGGCGGGGTCAAAATCAAAAGATGAATTGTATTTTTATTCAATTCTGCAAGCCTTTATATAAGCAAATGCAAGCTTGGAAATCTACAAGAAGGATCGATTCACCCACAATCTTATTTTTTAGTGAAGTCTTACAATAGTTACACGACAATGACATTATTGAGTTGTTATATACTTCTTTGCCGAGTGAAAAATGCCGATAACTGCTACCATATAGAATTGTGAAACTTTATTGTAAAATAAGGTAATAGGTGAATTATTTTCCATATGCAATCCCCATTCATTGTCTAGAATTCTTCTCCTATATCTCGTTGATGTCGTGATTGGATTTATTTCTTTTGGCGATGTGGTTAAATTAGACTTCTGATTAATGTTGAAATGCCTTGCACCTAATCTTGTTTTCGTTTTAAATATTTAAAATGATTTGCTACTTAAATTTCTTAGTTCAAAAGCGTGGATAAAAAGTCTTTTAGAAGACTGAGAAGAAAAAGTATGAGAATCTAGTAATTGTAAAGTCTAAGTCTTCCATTAGACACCCCTTCTTAGCCGAAATATATTGAAATTTGTTCCCATGTGACTATGTTATTCTTAATTTGGCCAGGGTAAGCTAAACTATTATTTATTGACTTGTTGTTTATAGTATAACCATTTGATAATCTCTTTTGTTAAGGAAAATGATAAATATACATTGTTCTCCCCAAACAAAAACCCCAATGTCAAAGGAATCAGTTAGGTGATTTCTTTTAATAAAATTAGCGTAGCTGAGAAAATGAAATCCATGTGTTCTCAGTTGCCACGTCCTGCTGATGCTAGCTGACCTAAGACAGATAGCACATTGCTCATAGCTATCAGCTGCCACCTCATTAGGAGAAATGTTTGGAACCTTGATGATCTGCCTTAATTCTGTGTTCCTGATATCCGTTACATTCACTAGAAAGAGTGATGATTTCACTTCCATTTATATTGTTAATATTCATGTTACTAAAACATTTTCATTCTGATTGGGAATTCCAACTTTGATACCAGTTCAAGATGAATGTGTTTAGACTATGAAAGATAATAAATAAGTCTTGCTAATTTCATGTCTTATCACCTCCAGGGAATTGCTAAATATGTAACTCATTTAGTACTTCATGTTGAATTATCCTCAGTTTTAAATTGGGTTCCTGCAGAATGGTGTCAGAGGATTTATGCTCGATATGTATGATTTCAAGAATGACATCTGGTTGTGTCACTCCTTTGGAGGAAAATGTTACAACTATACAGCATTTGTAAGTGTTCTTTGGTATTTAAAGCCAACAGGTCAATCACTTCAACTTTAAGTGATTCCAAAATTTGGACTAATGTCAAATTCTTAAGCATTTCAGATGAATTTTATTAATAAATAACTAGATTCTTATATATTTGAATCCTTTTCACTTTATTTAATAGTGGGTTTTTTGTAAGCTGTTTTATGATTTCCGTTGATAATTTTTATTATCGTTTCTGCTTGCTGCTTTCCTCTTGTCTAAGACTAATTGATCTGTCACCCAATTTACCAGCAACCTGCAGTTTATGTTCTGAAGGAAATTCAGGCATTTCTTGAAGCAAACCCATCCGAAATAGTCACCATTATGATTGAGGACTATATTACATTGCCAAATGGCCTGACTGAAGTGTTTGATGCTGCTGGCCTGAAGAAGTACTGGTTTCCTGTGTCTCGAATGCCAAAAAATGGTGGAGATTGGCCAACAGTCGATGACATGGTCCAAAAGAATCAACGTTTGTTGGTTTTCACTTCAAAGTCAGACAAGGAGGATTCTGAAGGAATAGCACATCAATGGAGATACATGGTAGAAAACCAATGTGAGTCCTACTACAATCTTGTCTTTCTAACATTTACTGAAACACCGAAGCAACAAGGAAAAAGTTAATTCAGACCAGAGATAATGTTGATGCAATTTGAAATTAACAGATGGAGATGGTGGGATGCACGATGGTTCGTGTCCAAACCGTCCAGAATCACTTGCTATGAGTATGACATCAAGGTCACTGGTTTTATTGAATTACTTTCCTGATTCACCAGACTTAACCCAATCCTGCAAGCATAATTCTGCTCCGTTGACTAGCATGGTAAACACATGTTATGAAGCAGCTGGTAAACGATGGCCTAACTTCATTGCTGTGGATTTTTACAAGGTATGTGAATAGTGAATACTATATATTTTTGCTATAACAAGAAACAATGCCCAATTTGGTACATTTCTCATTGACTCTTAGATTAACATTACAGAGGAGTGATGGTGGGGGTGCACCAGAAGCTGTAGATATGACAAACGGTCAACTAGTTTGTGGATGCAATGACATTGCCTATTGCAAGGTCTGTACCAAAAACTAGCTAGTCCACCATAAAAAAATGACCCATCATTTAATATACTAATAGTTTATTACACCCAACGCAAAGCTATTCTATGCTGGGATCATAACATAGAAAATTTCTCTATATTAAATGTCTAACTGATTATTATTTAACTGTTAATTTGGTGTAGGAAAATATGAAATTTGGAGCATGTGAATTATCTGAGGCAGGCATTGCACCTCATTTGAATGGTGGACCAATTCAACTATGGTGGTTTCTTTGCATGGTTTTAGTGGCAATCCTATTGCAACGCTCCTGACAGCTTGTGCCACTTTTCTGCCATATTTGACCGAGGACAAAAAGGGTATTTCCAAGTTCTAACCTTTTATGGCAGAAGTGCAACATTTTTGTTTTTTACTTGGAAATTAGATATTCAGAGTTTCAGTACAGATTGGTCCAAGACTTAACATGTAAGTGCTATCAATTTTTAATAATGATTTTCAGGTATAGGCCCTATTTGGAGATAGGCCTTGGGAGCATGTACAAGCCCAATACATATGAATTTAAAATCATTTTAAACTCAAAAGACTAAACAATTAAAGTTTACAAGTACATATATATATTTTACTTATTATTATCACATCTTTTCAATATGAAATTCCATCACAACTCCTAAATGAATTACTTTTCTCAACAGGATCGTGATTTATTAAAGATAATATTGATACATATCATGTAATTGTCATATAAATTCACTATTAAGGCTTTTCTTCATCGAGTTTATTTTCTGTATTTAAATCTATATCATCAATAGTTGGATTAACTCAATGTTGCTCATTGTATCTATTTTTTTGGAGATAAAAAATCAGTGTCTTAGTTATAGCAGGCGTTTGCACTTGAGAATAAATGTTAAGAAATTAAAGAATATTAACTCAACTAAACTTTTGTTAATGCTTAAGGTTTCAGTTCTTAAAGATTTGTGATGGCCTCCTTTGTCTTATGAACTTCTGATGATGTTTTCTTTTGTAGTTTTGAAATGCAAAATTCATGGGATAAGTCCAGCCCGCTGTAATGGGCAATCTGAAACGGTTATGCAGACAGCCATCACTCTTTTTAAGTCCGGCCCACTTGGCCTTTTGCATGTTCTAAATCTTGATGGGCCTTGTGTGATCCGTTTGTTCCGTCTCCTTTTCAAGTTCTTTTCTTTTTCCCTTTTTTTTTTCTTGACATTTGGGATTGGGGATTTCAAACCTAGAACTTTCGAGGGCTTTCTAATGTGCTTGACTGGTAGACTAATGTTTCATTGTTTCCTAATTTTTTTTCTTAGAGAGTGTTTGGTAAATTTTGAAAAATACTTATTTTAAAAGTATTATTTATATCTTATAAATTTAAAATTTTATTGAAAGAAAATTTAAAAATTAGTTTTTTAAATGAGTTTTAAATAAGTTTTTAAAAAATTATACATTTAAAATTTTTTAAAACTTACTTAAAATTTACTTAAAAAAATAATTTTAAATTTCTCTCACAAACAATTTTAAAGTTGTAAAACATAAATAATATTTTTAAAACAAGTTCTTTTTAAGATTTACCAAACATTCTCCTATTCGTTGCTATTCTTATATTCAACTTAATTTTTAAAGCATTACAAGTAGGTTCGAAAAGATATAAATACCTTTAATAAATTAATAAAATCTGAAAATTCATAAATGGCATTTTTTTTTGTCTTTCCTCAAGGTGAAATGAAAAACAACATTCTCCTTCTTATAACGTTTTACTCAAATGGTACTTCCATAGTTTTAGTTAGGTTAAGCATTACTCTAACCTTGAGAATTGGGGTTAGAATCTAGAATCTTATAAGACCTCAACTTTTCTTATCCTTCTAATTAGATTAGACCATTACTTAAAGGTTAATGGAGCATAAATCCAGGGCGTGTAAATACTCAACAAGTATTAAAAACGCTAATCTTGAGTGGTCGGTCATCAGTGCACTGCTCAAGAAACCTTAATCTATTTTTTAGCCTTCAAGGTTATTGATAAAGGAAATTTTATATCACTTTTTGTACAAGTTTATATATTATTTAAATAATTAATTTTTTTTTATTCTTTTAAAACTCATAATATTAAATATATTCATTTATTTAATGATATGTAAAAGTTATATAAAAAAATGATACAAAAAGATTATCCCTATATTACTGTTCATTGATAAATGATTTAACATGCAAGTAAACTTAACTCTTCCCTTAATCAACAGCCACTAATCACTCATATTTAAACTAAACAATTTGCATTGTTTGTTTACTTTTATTATATTTAATGCATGAAAATTGGAATATTTGTTCTGTTCTGTAGGGGGAATATCCTAACAAAGTGTGTCATATGGCTAGCTAGTACTAAATAAAAATACAATAATGATTAATTAATAAAATTAGAGTTATTGTCAAGGCGCTAATGTGGTGTTCCTTTTTTCCTTTTTTTTTTTTGATAAAGAGCATTAATGTGAAGTTGATACAGTGGTGGATTATTTTTTAGCAATTGCATAATACATGGCAGATCTTGTTGGTGCATCCACGATGATTTATTCAATTAAAGATAGTTATCTTATTTTTAAAATTTTTTCTCACCCATTTCAATATTTGCATATAACACTTTTAAGGGTTTTTTACTTTGTACTCTTAAAGTATAATTATTATATCTTTAAAATACTAATTAGTATTGAAAAAAATAAAAATTAATATTTATTTAAACAGTGACATAATTAAAATGATTCATGTAACACTAATAATAAAATTAATCACAATTTTTATATTTTATAATAATAATTAATATTAAAAATATATAATAATTGTACCCTTAAAGGCACAATTTAAAAAAAAAAAAAACTTACTTTTAATTTACAGTTTAAAACTCTTATGTGTTGAGACATCTCCTTAGTATGGATTTATATATATATATATATATATTCTTCTTTTTGTCTAAGCACCTTGATGTATAGGGAGTTCTCCCAATAATTAATATCTATTTGTGGTATGTTTGAAGTCTGCATGCTTCCTTGCCTTCGTGTTTGTATGGAAAAATGACAATGACTGGTTTTGACTTCCTTGAGACATAGCTGTTGTTTTAGGTAAAACTACATTTTACGTGGATTCTGCTTTGGTCATGTTTGATTCTTTTACAAGTTGGGATTGAGAAATAGGAAGCATCATTCTTCCACAAAGGGGATAGAGAAATCCTACCATTTCTTTTTGAAGAGAATAAAGTTGCTTTCAGTTGTTCATTAGTATTGTCCCTAGCTCGGGATATCTGGGTAGTTCATTTCTTTTTAACTTGTGAATTTATATATATTTTCACCTGCTTAATATAATGAGATTACAACAAGAGATTGTTATCCTTTTTAATTCATTTCAAGTTTCAAACTCAAAACCTCATCAAGAAAATTTTTAATCATATCTATGGGATTGATTATGACTTTGTTTGGGAGTGTTTCTTATATTGTGACTCTAGGATTTTTGTCTTTTCTTATAAAAAACATATAAAATATTAATTAAAATTATTAAAAATATATAAACTATTAATTAAAGTTAATTATTTATAATAAATTTACAGTTTTAAATATGGTGCTGTAGAGAAAAGTGTTGTGTAAAACACTTTTAAACAAAATCTATATTTAGTTTGGGATAACTTAAAAGGCAAGTTTGCTTAAACAAAGTTTGAATATGTAATTTTTTAAAAATTTATTAGAAAATTACTTTAAAAACTAATTATCAAAATTTTTCTCTAATAAATTTTTAAATTTATGAAAAATTACTTAAAATAAACTTATTTTTTTAAACTCTCCCAAACGCCTCTCTTACATTGAAATTTGGATGACTCCATTGAGCATCAATTGCATGTCTGTTTTGTAATTGTAACTTCCAAGTCTCCCTCCACATAAAATATCCATTTAATTTCAAAAAAGTGTATTGGACATATGCATTTCACTTTTTTTCTTTTTCAAAAACTCGAAAGAAACATGTCAGCTAACTCCAACAAAATAAATTAGTTGGCTTTGGTCACGGGCCACGTTAGTGTCCCAACTCGAAATGCCACGTAGATACCACAAAGACATCCCACGTAGAAACTAGAGTTTGATAATTTTATTAAAAATTATGAAAATTTATTAAGAGATAATTTTTATTAAAAAAAAGAAAAATTTTAGATATTTTAGTATTAAAAAATTAAAACGTTTAATCATAATTATTAAATATATCAATATCATATGAATTCTAATTTTCTTAAATTCATTATATTATTATTATTAAACGTTTTAACATTTTTTAAATATATCAAAACATCCTAATTTTTTTAATATTTTTTATATAATTTTTTATATTATTTAATGATTACCTTATAATATTATATGTATTTATTTAATAATATATAAAAATTATAAATAAAAATTATATAAATAAATTGTTCATAGATCATTATTCTTTTATTACATGAGCACATAAAAAAAAAATGCTATAAATGTTTCGGCTGATTGAATCATGGTGAAAATCTATGGTCAATTCTCCACTTTACTAACTATGATAATATTAGCTTCTTAACTTATAGTATAAAAGTTTTAACCCCTCATCTTATCAATTTAAATGAAAAAACTCAAAATGAATGACAACATTATGTGCTCATTAAAATTTCATTACCTATTGTCATGTTAGTACCAACGTGATCATTCCTTGCTATCATGACTACTACTGTGTTATAAAATTGTCATGTTGGCGTTAACATGACAATCAGTAACAGAATTTTAATAAGTACATAACATTGTCATCTATTTTTGATTTTTTTTTATTTAGGTCAAAAAGATAAGGAGTAAATTTTTTTTTTTTGGTATTAACTTTCCGGTATTTGGTAATTACATTGAATACCAATTAATCCAGAATAAAATCATGTCAGATCCCATAAGGGGGTAAGCTCTTCCAACGCCTGTTTTTTCATTCACGAAACTCAAACTCAAAATTTTACTTTGTTAGGTGCTCTTTGTATTTTGATGATGGTTTAAAACCATGATTCAAAAGAATTTAATCTATTTTTGTGCTAAGTGTGCAAGAAAGTTAATTCAAAGATTCTAATCTTTCCCCACGATTAGAATTGAATCATATCCTCCTTGTTCAGAGTTCTGGGTTCGAACCAATTATATTTGATTCGAACCAATCCCGAACTTCTTTTTTTCCAAAAATGATTCGAACCAATATTTCTGGCTTCGAAGCAAAAATTCTAGAAGATTAAATTTTAACAGCTCAACTATCTGTTCATTCTTAATAGGTTATAGGATATCTAAATGTCTTAGCACTTTCCAAGACAAGTCAGAAGAAAAAGGTGGAACCTAATTGGGCCAATTGTGAGGTGCCTTTGAAAGGCTAAAAGGGCTTTAATTGCAAGGCTCCCAACCAACTATTTAAAGGACATCAAAAATCAGATCTGAGTAAGGAAGAAGGACGAACTGCTCCAGCAATACAGAAAAACA